ATATTTTTTATTAAATATCAAAGGCAGATCCTGATTTTTTCTAAATTTTTCAGCTGTTTTCTCGGTTTTCCAGCCTCCTCCCTTTTGAGTGAATTTATGTGATTGTTCAACACGATTTCATTTTCAGTTTGCTAAAAGCCAAGGCCCGAATAGATTTCCTATCCCTAATGTATTTCCATCCCCCGCTCTACACTCACATATATTACCTTTGCCCACACCCCCTTGGCCACGCCCCTTTATCACGCCCTAATGTGTAAATTGCTACGCCCGCTAATGCATTTATCCTTGACAAGCGACAAGAAAGAAGAGTACAAATAAAGGATATCCCCCGAAAAAAAACGTACGGGGAAAAGGAAATACGAAATCAGCAGCAGCAGCAGCAAGAGCCACTTAAATATATAGTTGATATATTTTACATACACGAAATTGGTTTTTAACTGTATCCCGAGGACAGGCAGACAACCGCAAAGAGCGAGGTGGAAGTGGGAGGGTCTGGGCGGTAAGCAGTGGGCGGTAGGCGGAGTAAATAAGCACAGAAAAAAAAAGGTTAACATGAAAACAAAAATATATATTCCTAATTCAAAAGCCTAAACAAACTATTAATAGTTTCTAAAAAAAAATATATAAAAACAATTGTAAATGAGAATATTTAAATGAAAATCAAAATCATTTAAGGTCAACTAGATCTTAAAGTCGTGTATTTTTTCCAGTGTAAGGATTGGGCCAGGCAAACTGAGCCTCTTGAAGCGGCTGAGCAATTTCATTTTACAACCACTCGTTGTACTTATTCCTCTTTTTTTTTGTGCCCTTGCATTGCGCCATTTAATGTAAATCGTAAATTTAAAATGTCATGTAAAATGGTGGGCGGCTAGGCAGAGGGCCAGGGTGTGCCGATGGGGGCGTGGCACCAGCACTTGACAGCGCCGGGGCCTCCACTTAAGCGACAAAAAACACCGAAAGACAAAGGCACAGAAAAAAAGTGCAAGTGGAGACGGCCAAGGAGCGCAGTGAAAAATGTTATTAAAAGCAGTCGACTCTGATTGTCCTGGCAGCAGGACAATGCCATGGAGAAGTGTCTTCAATCAAGCGGGTGTTCCAGCCGTAAAATCTCTTCAAAATGTTTTTATTATCTTCATAAATTTGTAAATTGTAGTTTAAGTTGCAAGTTGAAATTATTTACAACAAAAATATTAATATAAAAGTTTAATATAAGTTTGAATAACTTAAGTTCCATTCCCTATAAATCTATAAAACTAATTTCAATCTCTTATCCTAGATCCCGGTGATTATGCATTGCAGAACATTTAACTATATACTTGGCTGTCTTAGGTAGGGGAACCGAAAAGGGGCGTGTCGCCCTTGCTAAGCTTTTTCGCCTTTAATAGAATTTTTATGAACTTAAGTAAAGTCGTGTCCAAATCCCACGCAGATTACACACGCACACACAGCCTGGATGCGTCGTCCAGAGAGATGAGAGACTTTCTGACTTACGCAACAGCAAAAAGCTTTCAAAAAGGCTAAGACTTCCCATCGAGAGGGGGAGGGAGTGGTCTTAGGGGCCAAAAGTAGGAGTGGCAGGACGAGTGCGAGTGCGTAAAATGGCAGTTAATCGTGACCACGTACCAGGACTATTAATAAAAGCGTCTTTAGACCTACATTTTGTGGACATTTCGTTGCCATTTCGACTGCACAACAATGAAGCCGGCGAAGAAGCAGAACTTTGGCGCATCATTAATTTCACGCAGTGTACAACTGTCGAGCCTTTCCCCCCCGGTCCACACCACATAGACACAAGCCATGTGCAGCTAAAAAAAAAAAACAGCTATATATGTATATATATTGGGGAGAAAACTGGCAAAAGGCAAACTTAATAACAACAAAATGGCCTTTGTGGCCTCATCTTGGTCCTGGGGTCACTCACACTGGCAAACACACATGCCTTTTGCCAGCGGCAGGAATTTTGTAATTTATCATTGCACAAATACAAAAACAAAACAAAAACAAAGACAAATACAAATACATTTACTGCCACATATGTCTGTCTCTGCAGCCGATTTGTTCTTGTGCGAAATGAACTTTTCAGTCGAAAGGGACCCTCGACTTAACTATTTAAACCCGCCAATGGCCTCCACAAATCAGGCTTACAAGGACATGAAGATTAACTCGAATAATGCAATTTGTATTGCAAAGAACCATTTTTAAAGATTTATAATAATTTTCTGGAAAGCCTTATAAACCTCAGGCTTCAAGGTATATGGATAGGGATATGTAGAGACCCTAAACAAATTTATAAATATATTTTTAAATACCTTAACTCTTTCATAAATACAAAACTAAACCCCTGAGACACACACACGGGTTAATATGCAGCCGAAAAAACCTAACAATCATTCAAAACTGGCTCACAAATAGCCGGCAGCCCTACCCAAAAAACATTTCGAATACAAACAAAGAGTTACTTTCAAATTAAATAAATAACCAAACTGAAAATGAACAAGCCACCCCGCTGCGGTTTTTGCCACCCACACAACTACATGTTCAGCTAAACCCTTTCGGCACATCAAAGTCATTCGCACATCGACCACGCCCCGTAAAAAACTCTAATTGACGTGCCTTTGGTCAAATGTAGCAATTCTCTGGTTTTGGTATATATTCTTTCCTGTCACGCCGCCGGACACGGGGACACACGAGTGCATTTCGAGAGTGTTTTGGGTGCACTATGAGAAATGTAATTAAACTTTTAGTAAATAATTTGAAATATATTTTCATATTATATTAGTCTTTTATAAACTAAATACAAATATTATTGTTTGCAGACTTGCCTGACATGATAATCAATCTTAAATAAAGTATTGTTAGCTTAGCCACATTTTTCTTAGTGTTTAAGTCCGCACGAGTGTGTATTGGTTAGTTGGTTGGCCAAACTTAGCATCGCACGTGCTTCTCCCAATGGCCATTTGGACATTCCAAACTCGCCCAGCTCAAGTCAATCTTGGCCTGGCCCTTTTGCTGGCTGCTTGCTGGATGCAATCCCCGCTGCATTTCCTTTGCGGCAGCTTAGTTTATGGTTTTGATTTCCGTTGCGCAACTCGTTTTTTAATTAGCTGCCGGGGCCCCATTTCACTCTCGGTTTCACCCCCTTTTGGCTGGTCTCTTCTGCTTGCGGTGTAATTGACCGTGTAAACTGGGCTTAAGTCACTTAACAGTCGCTTAACACATGCAGCTTGAAAGAGGAAAAAAGGACCTCTGGTCGTGACCCGAAAATCTTCTCGATTCCCCTTTTTTTCTCGACGAGGTGACGTTGGTCCGGGTTGGCTGGACGATTTGCATATTGTTTTGTGCTTTGGTGAACTTTAGCTCGTGCCCGAAAATGTGTTGCATACTTTGCGGCTTTATGCAAATGTCACAACAGTGAACACTCGCTAATAAAGAATTCTTTACGGGAAAATATTTAAAGAAAAACATGTAAACCTAGTTGTAAGATTAAAACATGAGAATGTTGCTTAAATTTTCATGACTTCTTCTAGATAAGTGAAAAAAGGTCATGTTTTCACATCTGAACTCCACTGTAATAGGACTTTTATAGAGAATACAGGACCCGGGACAAGTTTGCCGCTCTGCATGGCAAACAAATAGAAATTAACATGACATACTTTGCCCGGTTCTCAGCTCCGCAGCTCAGCTGGTGTCGGGAGTGGATTCGGTTCCACGAAAGCCGTTGCTGATGTTGATGATGATGGAGAAGGCCATGGAGCAGGAGCCCAAGATGTTCCTCAGGAGGTGGGGCTGAAGGTGGAGGAAGCAAGGGAACGGCTGCTCGGTTCCTTGAGCTACGCATGTGACGCGGCAGCGGCAACAATAAGGACAGCGACAAACATGCACAGCGGGGCATGGCCCGTAGAAAATATGAAAAATGTAAAACAAAAATCTGGCAAAAACTTTTCTAATTTAAAACTGCCAACAAAAAAGAGAGAATGCCAAAAAATAAAATAAAGTACGGCAACGAAACTCAGTAAACGACATTAAGATAGAGGGTTGGGTGGCAGCCTGAAATCCTTAAGCAAATCTTAATAATATCTGGATCACACTGTAACTTGGAAGGGTATTATAGAAATTGGTTGTAGTACAAATTTATTAAGCTTAAAAATAAATATTGAAAATTTTAATTTAAATTTAAAATGCATAAAATCAGTCTATGGGATTTCTGTAAGATGAAAGTGTACAAATTATTTTCAAATATTGCCTATGATTATTACATTAAATTTTACATTTTATTTATACACTAATTTAACATGTATTTATACGAATATATTTTTTTCCCTACTAAAGCTTTCTTATATTTTCCATAAATACCAAAATAGTATAATCACCTTATACTTAGAGTATTTTCCTTCGACACAGAGAATGTCAAAGTACCTCATTTTTTTCCCTGCCGTTTTCCATCATCAACACGCTTTATATAATGTTATCCTGCTCCTCTGCCAGTCAAAGTGCTTACCAAATTATGTCTGTTGACAGTGCTGAAGTGAAAGTCCTTTGCCGGCAGGACCTGCACATGTTGATGAATGCGTGGCCAAGAGACTTCAACTTTCTAATTTAATGCGGCACCGAGTGAGAGACAAAGGCCAAAGAGGCGGCGGCGGCAGGGAGAGGGACAAATAAATGATACTGCAAATTATTTAGGCAGCCAACGTGGCGTATGCGCAATGTCTGTTTGACATAGCAAATGCGAAGTTCCTTCCATATTGTTGGTCTTTTCGAAAGAAAACGTTTTATTTCCCCGCAAAACTTTGAAAAGTCATCTCTTAATTGAAAATTAACAGCGCCAGAACAGATGTCATTGTGGCTGAGCCCGAGATAGCAGCAACTGGAAAGTGTTCTTACACATTAAATCATAAAAGTGGGCCAAAGTTCATAATTTAAACTTTAAAGATGATTTTTCATTTATTTTGTGAATTTTCTTTAATTGCTAATCTGGTTTTACAATCAGTATTGCCGAGTGATAAACACTTAAACATATGAAATCGTTGCGATATTCCGCGCGGAGACGATTGATTCGATTGAAATCCATAAAAACTGTTCCTCGGAAGCATTGTTAACTTGTGCAGGCCAGGGAGCATCCTGGCAGAGGACCCCGGGACCCCAATTAAGTCAGGACCTGACGGACGATATCCGGCGGCAGCATGAAATTGTTTTTGCGCAGGGGAATCTCGCTCAGCTGGCGGTCGATGGGGGAGCGGGTGTCGTAGAGCGAGGGCGACTGGCAAATGATGGCCAGGGTCCCGAACACACAGGACAGCGTGAAGAGCCAGAGGAAGAAGCGATCCAGGACCATCGAAACGAACTTCCAATCCTCGACAATCTGGGAGGCGAGGCAATAAAAAATAGATTCTTAATATCATTCGCTGTATCATTTTTGCGGCTGAACGAAATTGGTTTTATACACGTTTTTTTTCGGGGGGCTAATAAAATATGGCCCTGCGGCTGGCTCTCAATAAACTTGAATCGCAATAAAAATATAAAGTTATGATTTAATATTTTACAATTGTTTGCTGCACATTTGGGACTTGGCTCCATCCAATGCATTCAAGTCGAAGTTAAGGGCAATAAACAATAATAAAAAAAAGGAGGCGAAAGACCCCCGACAGACGCCGAAAATATGGCAATGTAAACAATAACAACGCCAAGGACTCGCCTCTCCTCTGCTCAAGGAGGAGACGCGGTCACGCGTCAATAAAAATGGGCAACAAAAATAAGCACGGCTCGGAGGAGGCACGCAGCGGCCTCTGGGTACCCACCTCGTTATCCTTGTCGGCATCCTTGATATGCTGCGCAATAAATCTGACCGCACGCAACGCCTGCAGCACTTCGGGTGTTAAGTTGCGCGGTATCACATTGTCAGAATCTGTCAAGTTTCCGCCATGAAATTGCGAAAAATTGAAATAAAATATTGGAATAATAAATAAATGCGAGACTCGAGAAAATTCCTCCCCATCGGCCATACATGTATGTACGTATGTATATACATATATCATGTGTGCATCTACGCTTTTATGGGTAGACAAATATTTTGGCCTTTGCCAGGACGCAAATTAACGCCTCAAGCCAATAGGGCAACGAAGCTGAATTGTGCTTGGGAAAGATAATTTATAGGCTGTCCAGAATATTATACAATATTGGTGCTTAAAGATATGGAAGAACCTTTAAAAATATGGCAAGCGTTTGTTTAATTATTGCAAAGCTAGCATGATTATAAATAAATATACCTTAAGAGAGCTAAGCTTTATGAATTATTTCATTTATTGTATAGTTCTTATTTAAAAAATTGTTTTAAAATGGTTTAGTTAGCTAAGAAAGATTTAAAATTACTATTTAAAAAGAATTCAGTTAAAGAAACCTATAAAAAAATGTATAAAATGTAAGTAAAATCACTTTTTACTTCTCTAAAATAAATAACAAAATTATCAATTTCTATATTATGATATTACCCTAAAGAAGTCCATTTATATAATTTTAAAAATAAGTGCATGATTAAAGTTAAATATAAATATTCTAAAATAAGCATAAATTAATTATTCATTATATTTGACATTATATTATTATATTATAAACTTGAAATTATGTTTTATGAGGATATATAGATAGATAGATAGATATCCTTTATTCCAAGGGACTGATTTCTAGAAATAATAAGTAAACAAATAAACATTAAATTTTAAGTAAATGAAAACTAGTTTAAATTTACCGACAAATCAAGCTACTTTTTATTTAATTTGTTTATCGAAGCAGTTTCTCTTTTTATTATTATTTTATGTAGTATAAAAAATGCATAAAAACATCTCTGTTCCATTTTCAGCGCGCTTTTCATTGCGCTTGGCTTGTTTTATGATCTCCTACAAAATAATCGTGGAAGCAGGGGCGTAAATTCAAAGAATCAAGCTCTCCCACCCCCTTTTAGTATTGGCTAACCGCGACCCTGCTTGATTTTGGACCGCGTAAGCGTTATTTGTCATCAAAGCGCCGCTTCATCCCATGGAATATTTTCTCCCATTTTATTACATTATTTGCCATGTGTTTTTTCTATTTTTTTTCTTATTCGGCAGTGTTATATTTGATTTCAATTTGAGGCTGCCGGGCATGCAAAATATTTGTGTGTTTTATGGTTAGATTTCGCGCACTCACCCACAGAGTTCTGCATGCCATTATCGTAAGCGCCGTCCTGACTGTCCTTAAACTCGCTGGGAAAATCGCTGATGCTGTCGCTAAGGGGAAAAACCAAGGCCAGCACAAAAAGAAAAAGCGGAAGAGCGGCAAAAGTCAAGTGTTTACATTCAATTTCGAGATATGCCACTTACCGCACATCGATCTCGTTTGTGTATCCATTGCTGGGCGTGGAGTCGTCGTAGTCGGGCAGGGTGTACTGAGTCCGACGCATCATCATCAGCTTGGGCATGAAGTGCAGGAAAAGCTTCCTTACCAGTGGCGACATGTTGTGCGTGGAGGGAGATCTGTGCCGAGGGGCAATTATCACCTGCTCTTACCCGTCTCCTCCCCAGGCATACTTATGCATATGCCCCCGAATCGGAACTCACCTGAAGTGGATATTCAGCACACAGACCGTTGTCCAGACGGACAGCGAGACGAGTATCATGGTAAAGAGCAGATACTTGCCCAGCAGGGGCACCGCCAACGAGGTGGGCGGGATAATTTCGGCCAGAAGCAGGAAAAACACGGTCAACGACACGAGTATTGAAATACATAACGTAACCTGTCAACGAAATGTTTACACAATTTCCTCTTCTCGACATCCCTCGGCTATTTAGTGGCTGCCACTCGATCCAACGGAACACGAACGAACCATCAAACAATCAAACCAACAATCAACCAACAACGACAGTGAACACAGAACAAACAACCAAATTAAAAACACAATCAACATAATTTGTTCAATTAATTTAGCCCATTGCATTGCAATTACTTGTACAGAAATTATGAATGGCAGCGGCAAGGAATTTCCACAGATTGCCAATGCCTACCACCGGCCACAAAATAAATGTGAATAAATACTAAATAAAATCGGCAACAATTTGTTACAAAATTAACAAAAGGATATATGTACCAAAGGACCGCAACGCGTATGCTGTGACCAAGCTTAGAACCCACAACTATCACACTCGCGAACACACAATCTACGGGATGAATAACCTGGACCTCTTCCCACAGCAATCAATCAATCATTCCAAGTTTAGACGAAAACAATCAACACACGACCAAAAAAAAAAACGTAAAGCAACAAAGCGCATGTAACTACGTTTACATGAAAACTTTACTGCGTGTAACGTGATATATAGTATGTGTCGATAACAAAAAAATTGGGTATTTTGTATCAATTATGTAGCTTTTTGGGAAAACTTTTCAAGCAAATAGGTTCTGACATTATGACACTTTCATGTTAGGCCTGACGGATTATAATTTCCAAGTTACTGCCTTTGGTTTTTATTAAACAAAAAAGAAGACTGAAGACTGTCACACACGAATCATGTGTGATTTTAAATCTGCTTCTTAGGCTTATAACCAAGCATTGTTTTAACAGGAATGTTATCACAAAAAAATATCTGATATTTTATTTTTACTTTATTCATTTTAAATTAATAATTAAATTTACTGCTAAAAATTGCTGCTACTGATAAAGGTCATAATTCAAAATGAATTCCCTGAAGTATTGTCTACAAATATCTATGATGTAAAAAGAAAATTTCCCTTCAAGGTAAGTTATTCAAACTTTGGCTGATTAATTGCAAATTTTACTTAGACGCTTTTTAGTCAAAAATAATTATTTTACTAACAAGAGCTTAAGCACAATTAATGCTTACAATTTAATCAATCCTGAAGCACTAACCCTTATAGACTGAATTTGTTTTGAGCCCCAAAGGATCCCCTTAAGTATGTGCATTCAATGCCATATTATATCTCTGTATGACTGAGTAAATATCGGATTCAAACATCATTATCTGGTGGTGGAGCATTTACTGTTACTTGAGCAAACGAGCGATACGAATGAACGAACATACACTAAGGCAACGACAAATGGAATATAACAACAAACTGCACGAGTCCAGTACGTGTGTGAGTGTATTTGTAGGTGTTGGGTGGTTGTGTGAGTGTAGGTGTACAGGTGTTCAGGTGTGCCTGTGCCGAATGCAAGTGTCCTATATATGTATGTATGTGTGTGACTCGGTGTGAGTGTGAGTGCGCTGCTCAATTACAAGATACGCGGCGATATGGAATAATTTTGCGTGTGGCTTTTTGGCAATTTGAATTCGATTCGATTCGGTTCGATGTCGATATCGATTGGGCATTGGTATGCATTCGATGAGAATTTACGTTATGAGATTTCACTACTCAGGACAGCACAAATGATATTCAACGCAAAATGGTTCTGAGATATATAATTTATTATATATATACGGATCGTAAATATATGTGTGCTGCTTTAAGGAATGCAGAGAGCGACGCTGCTGCGAGTTCAGAGCTGATATTTGGATGGTTATATAGAATAGGCTACATAGCATTATGTTATTATCTATTAGTTTAAAAATTTTAGCATAAAATAGAGAAAGTTAGAGTTTGGAAAGAGCAGGAAGTGCAAGTTGAGCTCTTCTCAGGAAAGTTTTAGTTTTCTAATTTGTTCTTTTGGAATATTTGTTTGTTGAAAGCCAATTTACAATTTCGGTTGTGTTTCGAGTCTAGAGTGCAAGAGCTCAGCTTTAGGATAGCAGACTTGAAAGATTAAGGAGTGATAGTTAAAGTAACTGAAAGGAGTTTGAATTTGGTGCATATGAGTTAGACAGCTTAGCTAACGTTTAGAGGTATAATGTTGAGGTTTTGTTTTTCACAGTGTAGAGGTAGTTGACAAAAAAGGAGTTTAGTGATAAACAAAATGATTTGAGTAAGAGTATTTTTGTGGCAACAATTTAAAACATAAAATTTCACTACTTTAACTTAAAATATATATATTTAAAAAATTGGTAGAGGAAATATAACTACAAAACATATATACAAAAAGGTTGCATTTTAAATTTGAAGTGCAAGGAATATCAAAATCTAAATAAAACCATGCCCGAGCATTAAATCAAGAAAAAGGATATGCTCCTGAGATCCTCTTTCGTTACCTTCTCGCCCGAATCGCTGGGCAAATAAAACACCAACACCGTGAGAAAAGTCAAAGCCACACAGGGCACTATCAAGTTGACCGTATAGAATAAGGTCTTACGACGCATGGTCAACTTAAATGTTATGTCTAAGTATAGAAAATAGATATACATTATAAATTAAATTAAATATCAAGCAAACTCACCTGAAAAGGGCTCTAGAGTGTCGGGATAATACTCTTCATTTTTGGTAGCAGGCACTTCCAAAATGTCCCATTCCACAGACAAATAAAACTCGGTTAGATCGATGCCCACTTGAACCAGGTTGCTTCCGGGGACCTAAAAAATGAAACAAACATTATCCAATTCTTAATTTTATATAGGAATCTCATTCCAACCTGATCCAAATGTTTTAAATCCACCTGAGCGCCATTGTAGGTCCAGGAACCGAATTTCATAAAGCAAATTTGCTCATCGTAGGGAAAGTACTCCACATTCATTTCACATGAAGACTTGTAAATAGCTGGTGGCTCCCAAAAGACTTCCCCGGTATACTTGAGTGTGGCTTTGGTCATCAGAGTTACCTACAAAAATGTTTAAAAATAAGTTAAATACAAATAAAACTGAACCGAAACCAGACTTACCTCGTAGTTGCCATCCCAATTATTATAAAGCACAATATCCGGAACCCATATGTGCTCAGAGGGCACATACAGCTGTTCGACTCCTCCGTATTCCTCGGGATCCCATCGTAACTTGTAGTCAAACCATCTCTGCTTCACCCACAGATTTGTGGTCATCACCTGGTTCTTCAGATTCACCTCAATCAACTGAGACAGCTTCAGACCCAGCCAAACGGTCAGGGTCTCCGTGTTGTTGACCACGGGCCGTATCAAGCGATTATAGTTGCTTAGCAAATCATCATAGAGACGTTTGGTGTCCGGGTTAGCCTCAAAGCTGATGGGAGCTATACAAAACAAAGGAGATTTGGTGAGAAATGTGTCCAAGAAATATCCCAAACAAATAGTAAATTTCCCAAAACAAACTTCTGCGCCGACGCTGCTCTGGCTCTCTTCGTGGGCGCAGCTTCCTGACATCTGTCAGATATTCGGGATACAGCATCAGGGTATCGGAATTTTCACAATTTTTTTTTTCTCGCTCGGTAGACAATAATACAATGCTTACCCGTGGAGTTTGCCAAAGGAACGAGTAGAAAAACACACAACAAACTCCAGTGCCACATTTTGTGGCAGTTTTTCTAGTTATTTACTAGTTTAATTTGCTATAAATTAATGTATTCCTTGCAACTTAAAGCATTGTTAGTGCGGTTTGTTTTTTGGAAGAACCTCACGGTCAGAGAGTTTACTGGGAACTGAGTTGTGCCTTTTTGACAGATGTCCTGGCAGAGATGCTCGATGGCGGATCCTAGATTTATCGACCTTCAACCGCTTAATTTGAAATTAAATGGGTTTTTAACTAAGAAATATAATGGATTGCCTAATAAAGTTAATAAAGAACTTCGTTAGCCAAGTGAAGTCCGAAAAAGTATACAAATATCATTCATAAAAATTAGCTTTTACTTATATTTAAGCTAAAATTTTTTTGTATAAATTATTTTTATAATACCTGAAATATCAATTACCTATAAAACCCAAAACAAACCCTTGCCGAAACCCAGAACAACCCCTTACTAAGCCAAGTTCTCAACCAAAAACCAGACGAATGTGCATTTTGAATCCTTACTCGTTGTCCTGGCAACGTCACCCTGTTGCCTTGACAACGAGCAACCGAAAAATAGGAGAAAGAAAAATGAAAGCAGTACAAACTATACTTTGACAAAGAACGGAAGCAAAACAAAGAAGGCGAGGGCGTAGTAAACAACTTTCGATTTTTTTTTCTTTGAAATGGGCTTCAAGGGCAACTTTCCGCAGATGGTCCGTGGAACGGGCTTCAAGCTGCGACAGTATCGCGATGGTCCTTTGGACTGGAGGCTAATGGGTGAGGAATACCATAGTCTTTTACTATGATATAATAAATCCAATGTAACCTATTCAGGTTCATATGAAACAGAGCGCATTCTCAGGGAGCAGAACTTTGAACTAGTGGACAAGGCTCTGGCCCATCTCTCGGAGGCTCCACTAGGCACGGTGCTAGAGACACACATCCTGGACAGCGGCATTGCCAAGTACTTTGTGATGTCGCAGTATGCTATCCAGTACCTGCTCTGTTGTCGCACCTACTTGGATGAGTGTGTCACGGACTTGAAGGAGGCGCATACGACGGCCCAGCAGGAGATAGCCACTCTACGGAAGTCCCTCGGAGAGTCCCACAACGAGGTGGTACAGCTGCACAAGCGGATCACCCAGATCGAGGCCATCCGCGAGGTGGTCTATCCCTGTCACCTGTGTCCCAAGAACTTTATCAGCAACGAGGCGCTGAATGTCCACATCGGCCGAAAGCATCGCGTGGCCTCGCCCCCGAGTCTCGCCTCCGGTCAGGGAAAGGACAAGGAGAAGGATAAGGATACCGATCTCCACCTGATCAATACCATAAAGATGGAGCTAGAGATAAAGCAGCTGAAGGAGCGCCTTAATGCTGCCGAGCGGAACATCAAAGAGCGGGGAACAGGATCGAAGCGGGCTAGTCCTCGCCAGGAGCAGCGCTCCGTTGGCATCCAAAGTAATCTGGCGGAGGCCAAGGAGAAAGATGAGGGCAGTGGGGAGCAGGCGCACGACAGCGAGGCCAGCGAGAGAAAGGAGCAAATGACAGGATTGGCTGAACGACTTAAAAACTTCGAGGAGTGGCAGGAGCAACTCAAACAAAGCAACGAACACTTTATCAAGGTAGGTTTTAATTTACAACAGACAATACCTTTTAACCTTTTAATTTCCAACTAATATCCTTTAAGGACATAAATCAGAGACTAGAAGTATTAAGTCGAGCTCTTGAGCAGAGCAAACAGGCCTCAGCTAGCACACCGCCACTGGAAGATCGTGTTGCCACGCCCTGTCTGGAGGATCTGGAGCGCATACTCACCGAAAAGGTGGCCGAGATTGGCAAGGTCAGTGCCCACAAGCTGGAAGAGGTAGTCTACCACATGGAGATGGGGTACAGAGAAAAACTGGAGGCTCTTGAACGCGAGCTTAAGCAGTTGTCGTCTCAAACTAAGGAACAGCCTCATCATGTCCAGGCTCTGCCAGCTGCTTCGAAAATACCCAAGCCCGTGAACCGAAAAGAAGAAACCAATATGGATCGCATCCGTAAGCAAGTGGAGAGCGAGTTCCTCAAAAAGAAAAAAGACGATGACACCTACTCCATTGAAGAGGCGCCACGGCAGAAGCCAATTTCCCAGCTGGTCAGCCAAGCCCAAGTTCATGCCGTGGAGAAGGAGCAGCCAAGTGCAGGTAGCTCCGGCAGTAATCCAACCTATACAAAACCACCTGTCGAGACGATTTCCAGCAAACTGGAAACAAGAGAGGCTACGGACATCAGCGAGAGTCTAAGCCACGAAGAGGGCGAGCAGGACGAAGAACAGAGCCTGTCAGAGGAGGAGGAGGAGGCCACAGAAGTGACCACGTCCGAGTCGGAGGCACCCAGAAAAGACGACAAAGCAACACCGATCAAGCCTCCTGAAAAGATAATCAAGTAAGTGCTTTGTTGTACACTATTATTTATTTATTAAAATAAAAATGATTTTAAATTTGTTATTTCCGACAGAACGCCACAAAAACCGCTTACCAGAAAAGATGCCCGGAAGTTGGTCAACCGGAAGTTGATGCCTCACGGCTTCGATATGAAGTCCAAGGGTATTTCCCACATCTCACTGAAGCGAGTAAACTCGGAGCTGGCCGAGCATCGCAACAAATTAAAAATGGTAAGAATTAATTAATAATATTAAATTAACAAGCAAAAGCAATTGACAAAACTCTCCTTAGAAATATCCACATTTCTATGCTACCCGGAATCGCATTCGGAAATTCGTGGAGAAACTCTGCTCCGCCAAATTTCCAGAACGCGCTCAGGTGCTTCTCAAGCATAGGACTCCTCTGAAACCCATCGAGGTGCCCAAGAAACGGAACCTACCACCATCTACATCATTAGAGAAGTCAGAGGACGATGTAGCTTCCACCCAGGACGAAGAGCAGGAGGATGAAATGTCGCATAGCAGCGATGAATCCCAATCACGTAGTTCTAGTCCTCAGCCTCAGGTTAGTCGGGACTTCAAGGCAAGGCTGGAGGAAATTCTAGTCAAACCGGCGGCCACAGCCCGAGGAGGAGTTTCCAAATCAGCTCTGAGCTCTCGGCCAGTTCCTCTGCCCAGAAAGCGGGTTATGTTTAACACGCTAAGCAGCGGAAAAAGCTTCAATGACAGCGATGATAATTTGAAATAAATAAATTATTATTTTAAAAATTTTGAAATAAAATTATAATATTATGACGGATATTATTGACAATAAAAACTATATTTTTTTTAACATTTAAGCAAGTAAAAATTGAAGATTGATCTATGTTTTGTTTTAATAAGAAATTCAAATTTAAATTTAAATTTGTTACTTAATTACCTTAAAAAACAAAAACAATATTATTTAAACATTTTTCCAATAAGAAAACCCACACCCGCTTCGGTCACACCAACGCCTCTCAGCGATGGCCTATCGATAAAGCTATCGGCTTGCAATGTAAACAATCGACGTCACTAACACAACGTAGGAGAAAATTTTGTAGTACGTCGCGAATATAACGTGCAATAAATGCAATAAAAGGCAGCTGGAGCGGTGGAAATCGATTGAAGGCAGCCAACCGTACATGGGTCAGCATCCGAGGCAGTAAATCCAGGCAGCAGGCAGGCGGAAGACGGCGTAACCCGAGGCGGAAGACCCAGCGATTTCCAACAACACAGACACGCACCCACACACACAGGCGCCCGTCCCCGTCGATGAAATAACATACATAACGAACGTATACCGAAAATACATAAGAAATAACGGCGGAAATAACAGTAGCGGAAAACAGCAGCGGCAGCGGATAATCGAAATTCGGTGAGCGGAGCGAGCGGAGGTACCACCGGGCCAGGAACATGTCGGATATCATGAACATCGACAGCATTATCTCGCGTCTGCTGGAAGGTATGTGCGGGTGCTCCACCTCTTCCTCCCCTCCTGTTCTCACCAACTCCCACTCATATCAACATTATAAATCTTTACAGTGCGCGGAGCACGTCCGGGCAAGAATGTTCAACTGTCGGAGAGCGAGATACGCAGCCTGTGCCTCAAGTCCCGCGAGATATTCCTGTCGCAGCCGATCCTGCTCGAGCTGGAGGCCCCGCTGAAAATATGCGGTGACATCCATGGACAATATTATGACCTACTGCGCCTGTTCGAGTACGGTGGCTTTCCGCCAGAGTCGAACTACCTGTTCCTGGGCGACTACGTCGATCGCGGCAAGCAATCTTTGGAGACGATATGTTTGCTGCTGGCCTACAAGATCAAGTACTCGGAGAACTTCTTTTTGCTGCGCGGCAACCACGAGTGCGCCAGCATTAACCGCATCTACGGGTGAGTTTTTCTTTTCTATTTTTTATATTTCCTTCACAATTATGTCAGTAGATATTGTTAATTTTGCAATCCGCGTCGTATAACATTATAAAGTATATACATTATTCATCCAATTACATTTAATTGACAGGTTCTATGACGAATGCAAACGTCGCTACACCATCAAGCTGTGGAAAACGTTCACGGACTGCTTCAACTGCCTGCCCGTGGCGGCCATCGTGGACGAGAAGATTTTCTGCTGCCACGGCGGCCTGAGTCCAGATCTCTCGTCCATGGAGCAGATCCGGCGCATCATGCGCCCCACAGACGTGCCCGATCAGGGTCTGCTGTGCGATCTGCTGTGGTCCGATCCCGACAAGGATACCATGGGCTGGGGCGAGAATGATCGCGGCGTAAGCTTCACATTCGGAGCGGAGGTAAGTCAAACAAAATTATTCAGAAAATACAACGAAAAAGATTATAATATTTGTGTTTCCAGGTTGTGGGTAAATTTTTACAGAAGCACGAATTTGACCTGATCTGTCGGGCCCATCAGGTTGTGGAAGATGGCTATGAATTCTTTGCCAAGCGTCAGCTGGTCACGCTCTTCTCGGCGCCTAACTATTGCGGGGAATTTGACAATGCGGGTGAGTGATCATCGACGATGGACTTCAGTCCGGAGATAAACATTATCTCGACACAAGGCACCCTTTACGGTCGTCTATAAATATAAAAATAAACACGGAGGTCAACGTTGATCTCGGAGATAGGCCAGAAGCAAGTGAAAGCTAGCAACCAGATTCCATTGCCATTTCCATTCCCGTTTATTTCCACTTACCAAGAAAATGCGCACTTTAAAAAATAATCAATAGCGGGAATCGCCATAAATGTCAGCAATGATTAATCATTATCGATTGGCTTTGCAGGTGCCATGATGTCCGTGGACGACACACTGATGTGCTCCTTCCAGATATTGAAACCCGCCGACAAGCGACGATTTGTTTATCCCAACTTTGGGAGCTCAGGACGCCCCTTGACACCGCCACGCGGTGCCAACAATAAAAACAAGAAAAAATAAACGCTGCACACCTCGAACACTGCACAATAACAGGAACAACAAGCCACACACACACACAAATAGAGAGAGTGGCATGGAAAATCCGTATCCGTATCCGAATCCGAGTCCACATCCAACGGAATGCGCAAAAAGTTTGTTTTTATCGAATACGTGTAATCGAATCGTGAGCAACGTTATAAGGGGTATATGAATCTATACAAATTAGCCTATTTTTTATTTAAACAAAAAAAAAACAAACAAACAAAAATGATAACGAAAGCATAAACAAAACGAAATAATATGAAATGAATCAACAAAACAAAACACAAATCGAGACACTTTAGTTCAAACTAATTGTAGTGTAAGACACTGCATAAGCAAGAATATTTTATCTCCTAATATATTAATTTTGTTATAGTTTTTCCTTGCGCAAAGCCAACACAACACACTCACACACACACACTGCATATATATCACCCCGTACAGTAGGTACGAAAAGTGGACGCACCGGTTGTATTTTATTTTGCATTTCTATCTCTTGCACAGCATTTTATTTAAGCAATTATTCTGGCGGCACTTTAAACAATCTTTGGCTCCTTGTTCCTCTACCCCCCTTTCTTCCTTTTTTCTGTTGCGTATCTAAAAGAAAACAAAACACTAGCAAATGGTGAAAATGTTAACTTTTATGTTTTTTAAGCTGTATGAGAAATGCTTTTAAATGTGTGAGCTGAGTTAACACTGCATATTACATATGTACTCGAGGCACGATTTATTTTTGTAATATTGTCTTAGAAATTTTACATCGACGATACATGTTTACTTAGTTTTAAAATGAAGAAGAAGCAATTTTAGTTGCAAGCTACATAAGTTTGAATTGTTTACACCAAAAATATTAAAATAAACAAAAATATTATAATACATGCATATTTTTTAAAACTGTTTGCGTTACACACACACCATGATCACATACAAAACACGCACACAAATCCAATTTAAGGAAAGTCCAAAAACAATTGAAAAAAGAAACCTTTCGTATGGCAGTGTTGCATATCTGATAAAAATATGTAAATATATAGGTTTTGGAATGTTATAAAATTTAGTTTTGTTTTTCTATCAACGAAATTAACTTCTTATGAATATCTATTGGGTTTTTCTGATTTGTAATATTTTTTAAATCTTATCAAAGTACCCTTTCAAGTTCGATGTTAAAAGTTGCAAATTCATTTACAATATGCTTAATTTTTTAACTTTAAAAATATCTAAAAAAAAACCTATCATACGACGGGTAACAGCAAAAAAAAAATCAATGCGAAAGCGAATACCTTTTAGCGGCACTGTGTGCCCTCTGCCGATGTCAGCGACGAGGCAGATAATGTTACCTATCCCCTCTTAATGCCCCCGCACTTGAGAGGAAAGCAGACCCATTAAATACATGCTAAATTTACACAACAAAATCGAAACAGAAATATACAAGTAATAAACAATAAACAAGCGCAGCAGCAAACACAAACAGACACGGTTATTGTACACGTAAACGTATATACTTTGTGTATTTCGCTACATTCTAGTGCTAAAGGCCGCCACACTCAATTACAAGTATTATGCCCATGCCCAGACAGGCAGCGATCCGCGGCAGGCGCTGCAGCCTGACGCAACTTACCCAAAATGGTTTCGTTTGTATAATTCCCGCCCGACAACCTACTAACAACAATCGCGTAACCTATAAAAACCAAAAACAAAGCAACGGCAAAATGCTAAATGCAAAAACGAATATGAAATATGAGCCCAAAGCGAATCCTCGTCTATTTCACACACTCTAGTACTCTGTTCAATGTTGTAATGAATTCAACGTATATTTACGACTATATATGTACTTGTAATATCGCGATCCAGTACGACATCGGCTGTTTTCAAACCCCAAAAACACAAGACATAAATCTAAAACGTAATATCGTAAAATACAACCAAAAAAAAAAAAATACAAAAATACATATAAAATTTAATTCATTTCAAGATGGAAATTTGAAAAGACAAAGGAATAATGAGTAAAAGCATTCAAAGCGCAAGTTGCAAAAACATAAAAAATAAAAACAAAAAAAAAACAAGGCAATTAAAAAAAATATATAAAAAAAATAAACAAAAAAGAACACAATGACGAAGCACTTGTAACAAAATAGCACTGTTTTATTAAAAGAAAAAATTGAAATACATACTAGCAATAAAATGAATTTCGAGTTGTGGATTTACTTGAATGTCATGACTTATAGAGCCTCAGGTATGTGGTAAATGATTGGGTTGAGCAACAATTCATTTTATATATAAAAAGGTACAATAGTTGTATATTTTATTTTTTAGATTTACTTTAAATTCATCTCCAGACGATTTGAATTAACCATCCTAACCATTTGCCTTTCTGTCTATCCGTGCGTAGACTCTTAATTTGGTAGAAACTAAATAGATAAAAATCTCATATACAAAATTAAAAACATTTTAATAATTAACATAGCATCTATCTCGTGTTCACTCGCACTAGTCCTTAATGCTTAGTCTCTTACTTAAATCGGGATTTGAGTCCTGGCTTTAGATTTTTTTTTGCGAGTTAAATATATCATAGACTAACATACTGTCTATAATCTTATATCATGATTGTATACCCTTCCAAGGTATTATTATTATAGTCAGAAGCTTGCAAATCAGTCCTATAAATCATATATATTCTTGAGCAGCATTAACAAGAGAAATTATTTAAATTATTTCTCAAAATTTGATAAAGGGTTAAATTTTGAAAATTTTTTAAATTTTCAAGAATGAAATTTAGACCCAGAGTTGTTACCCCCAGAAAAAACACTAGCACAGAAATGCTTTCCGAATTGAATTTGGCATTATGTTATGATATTTAAAAACTTTGATCTGTCCAACAAATTATCATATAAAAAATGGATAAATATCTATTCAAAGAATTCAAATATTTCCGATTGGCTTGAAGGGTATTTATGAATTTATTTAGAGAAGCAGTCATTTCCGAACTTATAAACCATATATATTCTGTATCAGCGTAAATCGGCGCAACTTTCTAGCAGTTTCCGAAAGAAAACTTTTTTTTTTCAAAATTTGATAAGGGGTTACATCATTAAAATTTTCAAAATTGGCCAAAAATTTTGATTTCCTCTAATGCTACATTTATAATGCAGATTAGTTAACATAGAAAAAACTATTAAACGGAATTAAATTTGTAGCTTTGTTGGCTTAGTTATGATCGATTTTTGATTCGATGCCTGATAATTGATACTTTTAATATTCCAAACTGCAAGAGTATACAAATTTCGGCTTTTTAAAGATAGTTTCCTTTCTTGTTTATTTATTAAATTCTAGATACTATTAATATTGCATTCGAATTTTATAAACAAAGTTACTACTACTACTACTAACTATTCATATAACTTATTTTCATCTTAAACTAATTGTATCTCAAGGCACAACTCTTGTCCAAGGGAGCACACATGGCGCCAGTGCCTCGGCCGCATCTCTCATCCGACTGCAGCCTTAGCTGCAGTAACTTCTGCCGCAGGGCATAGGGTGTGGTCGTGGTGTTACTGGAACTGGAGGTCGCCTCCTGCTGCCTGCTCTCATTGGCCCTATTCTTGTTCCACTTGTCTGTATTGGTTGTATTCAATTGGTCATAGGCCTGCTGCAGTCGCAGCTCATCCTGCCGGCCATCGCTGAAGCAATCACTCATGTTCATCAGGCGAAACTGCTGCAGAGCCTGCAACTGCTGCAATTCATCCGTAGATTGCCTGGCTGGATACTGAACTAGGCGTGGCGAGGGCGATGAGTTGCCACTGTGAACCTGACCCTGACCTTGGGTTGTCTGGCGACTAGCGACGCATGCGCTCTGCTCATAAAGCCGTCGATTGTCCGTAAACAAGGCGTAGTTGTTGGCTGTTGTTGCGCGGCCACTGCTGTTGGTGTCAACACCTCCTGTTCGCTCCCAGCCCCATCGCAACACCTTGGCCCTGCTCTGCTGTCGTTGCTGGGTGGAGCTGCTGCAACTGCAGCTGGAGCAGTGACTCACCGTAGTAGCAGCGGAGTTCCGGCGACTAAAGTCGTTGCCCAGCTCGGTGCTGGAGTGGCCCAAACCAAATCTGGGCGGTGTCTTGAGGCTGGGTCTCTTAACAAATTGCGTGGCTCGCTGGCTTTGTCGGGAGGATGAGGTCACCGACATCAAATCGCCACGTGGATGCTGCGGGCGGACATGTAACTGCTGCTGCTGCTGCTGGCGTGGCACATCTCTTAATCCCATTCCACCGCAATAGCATCGGTGCATTATATTAACCTTTTTTATATATGTATATATTTACAATAATTCTCTACGGATAGTCGGATTGCGTGCCCGTAGAATGTTTTGAGCCAACTGACGACAACCGGTTTCCACACTTGGTACTTTATCACCAATCACCGAACCAAGCACCAAACATATAAATGCATATGTATACCGTTAGCCGGCTCACTTGGGCGCTCACATATCGTTTGTTTATATTTGAACAACAATTGCAACAGTTTCCATAGACACATGCCGAGGTCCTTGGGCTGTTTATTTTTGGCCAAGCACTCACACTCACGCACTTGCCATCCATATATCGGCGTCTAGTTAGACAAAAGAATGTGCTGGCCAAACGAAAGACTTAGGCAACAAACTTGAATGTGGTCAATGAAGTAAGGCGGAGGAGAATCACCAAATGAACTTCATTAATAGTGTTGTAAAAGATTTGAATCGAGAACGATTTAATGATCTTTATTAATAGCTAGTGGAAGGTTTTTTACACACATTGAGATAATACAAATAATAACCTTAGTGGGTCCCAGTTTTATAATTACTGGAACCTAATTAAATAAATGCTTGTCTTCTAATTACTAGAAACTCATTAAAAATGGACATGAACTACATACTTTACCAGTCACATACTTATTTTATGGTAAATTGTTATTCTATATTCTGTATTTTTCATTATAATTAGCCCATTATTATTGTTTGTTTTTAGTTTAATTCAACTAATAAGTGTTATTATGCTTTTTCGTTCAGTTAAACTTAGCTTTAAACTTATAATTTAATAATACACATGTGGCCAGTTCCCACAAAATTACCCAATCCCCCAAATCCACAATCCATTTCCACATTTTTCAAGAATTCGACTGTTGATTTCAGCACACAAATGTTGCCAAATATTGACCCAATAAAAACTAGTTCCTGTGCACATATAGAATCTACTTTTGGCGGCATAAAGTGCATGAATTGGGTGCCTCGACTTGACTTCCTTCAAGCCAGCGATGCCTGAAATGGAAGAAGCAAACAGGCTGTGTGCGTAGCATTTAGCATGATATTACTACCGGATAAGTGGCATGGGAGAAAGACCCTCAATTACAGGGGCATGTAAGGTTCAATGAACCGCGGCGAAAAGGAAAATGAAAGGGCAGGCGGCAGGGTTGATGGGTTCCTCGGTCAGCGGTGGTCAGCCGGTTGGCATGGCCAAAAGCGGCCAGCCGGAAAGCAAAAGTGGTTCGGTTTGCTTGCCTGCTTTATGGGCCAAAGCTTGAGCGACCCATTGAATTCGATTCGCGTGAGCTTTTCCGAAGTCGGACGTTGAACGCTGGCTTCTGCGCCGGCGCCGCCGCTCAAGCTCGGTATAAAACGACGAGCGGCGAACGCATCCCGTGTACACAGTGATAAGTCGCCGGCCAGAATCACCTGTCTCCCCAGATACCGCTACCGCCACCGCCCATCGATACGTATCCGTACGGAGATCGCGCGCGCTACCGCTGTGTCCCATTGAAGAGTGTCTCTATCGAAGAATTTCCCAATTTCTGCATCCGATTTCGTACATCCCCCGGAGATATGTCAAAATACGCGCTGCTATTGCTGCTAATCGCTGCGGTTGCGCAGGAATTAACTGTAACGACTGCGCAAGATTTGCGTAAGTACTAAACCGAAAAAATAGGAGGAAAAAAATCATTAAAAACTGAGCAAAAACACCAGCCACTAAGTGCAAAAAAACTGATCATTTGTATTTGCTTTGACTGTACGTCTCGGCTATAAGTATTTGCTTAACCTGGCACTGCGCATTGATGGTTAAAACGTGATCGATATTGTTTATGGCTGGTTAATTTCGGCTTGGGCCTGGGGTCTTGGCCCGCAGACCTCAAGGTCGAGCTCTGTAAAATTCTCTAATGTCGCGCAGACGGGCATGCAAATAGCTGTGGCATTACAGCAACTACAGTAGACACCGGCGGAGAGTCACGCCGGCTTAACGATGAGTACCGCGTCGAATTGGGGTTCTAGGAATTCGTTTTTTTAATATTTTTCTGAACAATTAGAAATAATAATAGAGTTTTAAAGTGCTTGCAAATTGTCAGTAAGAGTTCTTGGAGTTTCCTTTGAGAAAGAATCACATCTTACTGTCTGTCATAAGTTAAAGGATATGTTCGCTTCGAATTAAGGTTCCAGGAAGGTTCTTTATAATATTTTTCGACTTAAACTGAACAATTAGGGATAATAGTAGTGTTTCAAGCTGTTGCTAATTGTTAGTAAATGTTCTTGGAGTTTTCTTTGAGGAAGAATCACATCTTAGTGTCTTTCAGATTAATAAATACAAATACTCCTACACATTTTACAGATAAAGTAATTTAATAACTAATAGCAACTGCATAGAAAGTACTTTAATTAATTCCCTAATTGCTTATCTGAATTTAGAACATTAATCAAAATAATGAGGCGTCCAAGAAGTAATGTGTTTTCTAAGAAGTTGTTTGAAAATTCCTTAATTGCTATGACTCCGCAATCATAAAAGTTTAATGAGGGGATTTTTTCTTCTTAAAAAAAATATCACCAATAAAACAGACTATATTCATTCGCGTGCTGCTAAATAGCAACAATAAATTAAGATCACCATGGTCGGGGGCTGCATTTTTGGAGTTTCCCCAACCGATAGCCACTGTACACAGGTGTTATGCAATTGTAACCATCGTCTGCAAACAGGTTGCTCTTGGAACAGGCCAGTTTGGCAGACAGACAGGCCACCACTGATCCACATCCACGCTAAGCTTCCGCTTGTGACACCAATTTGTTGGCTCGACAGAGAGAAGGACATATGTAACCGACAGATGATTTGTGTTAATTGATTCACACATTCCTCTCGGCGGGCGTGGATTTTTTTGCCGAGTGTATTGAGAGCCGAACTGGGCTGATTAATGAAACCGTTGGCATAGGTCATGAGTGTGCCTTTGTCTTCTCAATGTATTCATGATAAATGGCCCCTCGCAGCGTGCGCTTCAACTTGACATTGAGCCACTAAAATATGCTAGCTCACTTCTGTTTTCTCATATATATGCTGCCATGCCTTTAACTTATATATTCGTGGACTCTTTTGTTTTGTTTACAAACAAGTTTCTGTGGCCAACGAACTCTGTCGATGGATGCTGCTGGCTGGCCCAATTGCAGGCCAGCCCGGGAACTTCCGCAATCCGCGAGATGGCCAACGTCTCAATGTCATGACCAACCGAACCGACTCAACCGATCTCTGTCTGTCTCTTGTATTTTTGCAGCCGAAGGCTTTCCCAAGTGCAAGCGGGATGCGAACTTTGACAAGTGCCTGGTGGATGCTGTGAATCATGCGATCCAGCTGCTGAAAGCTGGTGAGTATTCCCTACTACCCAACACAATGGCTGAATAACGCTTCCCGATCCGTTTTGCAGGCAACAAGGAGTTCGGCATCCCGCCCCTGGAGCCCCTGGCCGTGAAGAAACTCGTTATAGATGCCGGCAATGCGCCAATAAATCTGCGGCAGACCTTGAAGAATGTGAAGGTTCACGACATGATCTCCACCAGCAAGATCCAGCGGTACAGGTAATGCTGCCAAGGCTAAAAAGCTGTAAATCGAAAAGGCAAGTTACAAATTTCTCTTCCTGATTTCGTCTTAACCCGCAGAACCGATCTGGACAAGCACTTGATAATCTGTGATAGCCGAACGGACCGCATCGAGATGATTGGCGACTACGAGATGTCCGGCCGCATCCTGCTGCTGCCCATCACGGGACATGGTAGGGCAAACGTGACCCTAATCAACACCAAGATCGAGCACCGTCTAATCGGCGAGCCCTTCGAGCGAGATGGCGTCAAGTACATGCGCCTCAAGGACTATCGGGTGGCCTTCGATCCCAAGCGGGTGTACATGAATTTCGAAAATCTCTTCAACGACAAAACCCTTTCGGACGGCATGAATCGGTTCCTCAACGAGAACTGGGAGACGGTATTCAACGAGCTGAAGGTTGGCTACGCCAAGAGCTTTGGTATCATCTTCCGGGAGCTCTCGAACAAACTCTTCGAGAAAGTGCCCTTCGACAATATATTCTTAAGCTAAGTGCTAACCGCTTTCGCTTACCTATTAGGTTACACCTAATTTATGTTACTACTTAGTTAATAAAGGATTTAAAAAATAACTTTTACTCTATTGTTTTATTTACACCATTTATATGTTTGTTTGAAAATTATTCACAACTTGTGAGTCACAAGTAAACAAGTATTTACGACGTGTTTACTTGCTGTTCATGTTTAATCTTTTCACCTCAAAAACTCCGTTTAATTATTGTCCTAAGGCATTAGAGACATTAGCGTGAGTTACGCCCTATTTTGTAAACAAGTTCTTTCGCATAAATAAAAAGTCATTAGTGTCAATAGCAAAGGTTAGACTATAGGCAAATAGTTGAATAAAAATTCAAATAAATATGTAAAAGTTTATATAAAATGCAACTTAAAGATATAGTATCTCATTAGAAATGGCCTTTTTTAGTCTTAAAAACTTTTATAGTTTTTGGACCGTTACAGCCTAAATTCAAACTCGGTAGACACTCGATAACATTTCGATTGGTCTTCTGCATTTCCTAATGCTTTTTGTTGTACAGGCTGGTCACTCTGATGGGCCAACGCAAATATATTTTTATGCTCTTTTTTGTTTAAAACAATTGGGCAGTAAACCGTGATAAGTACACCGCCGCCTGAAACGGACGACTGCCGACAGCCTGCCTGGATGGCAGAGAAACCAGTCGTCATGGAGGCCACTGTGCCGGAGGCCAAGTACCAGAAACTGGCCACAGAATACTCAAAGGTATGAAGTTCCCTCTAAGCAGCAACAGTTAACGCCCATTAATCCAATTAATCCCCATTCCGATCGCTCTGATTAGCTGCGTGCCAAGGCGACGGTGCTGAAGAGGGCGGTGGAGGAGCACGCCAAGGAGCAGGCAAAGGAGGGCGGCCTCCGGGAGCAGGTGCAGCAATATGCCACATCACTGCGCCGCATGGAGCAGGAAGTGGACTCCCTGGGCTTCCGCAACAAGCAGCTTGAGTCGCGCGTCTCACAGCTGCAACAAGAAATCTCACTTAACGAGCAGCGCCAGAAAAAGGAGAAGGATGCGGGTGGTAGGCGGGGATTGCTGGGTAACAGTTCCCGGCACCCCGAAGCTCTCGCCGATGCCCACGCAGATGCAGCCAGCGAGGCGAACGCCGCCCAAGAGGCGCTTATCTTTGAAGAGCTGCAGAAGAAAATCATGGAGAATGCACAGCTGACGTCATTGGTAAGCCAGAGGGTTAAACTCGATAATTATGAAAGATGAGCAAGGAGTCCCAATCACCGCCCACAGATTGACGACAAGCAGCGAGACCTGCTGCTGCACACGGAGCGCATTGCGTCACTCGAACAGAAGCTGGAGAAGCGGATAGGCGATCAGAACGAGCTGGAAAGGCGGCTGCGGAAGGAGGTGGAAGCATTGCAGCACAGGAACAGTGAGCTGGAAACCAAGTTGGTTGATGCCACCAGTATGGTAAGAGCCAGAAGCCAGGATTTATTACTAACCTAAGATTTAACCGGTGGAACTATTTTCCAGCTTGGCAGCGAGGACGCCCTAAGCGCCACAGGAAGCGATAATACTCCACTTCACAATCTCCAGCAGCAGCAGCAGCAGCCGAATAGTGCCCAACTCACCTCGGATGATCGGATTGCTATACTCGAAAAGGAGGCGGCGCACTGGCGGGCCCAATTCGAAGTGGCCAAGCTGCATCAGGCATTCGTCTCGAACCCTAGCAAGGATCTCAGCACGTGCAGCTGCAGCACGGCGGCGGCGGGCGTGACAGTTCGACCCGCAGAGCCCGAAACCAAGGGCAGCCAGCGGGCGCGTGACTCCCTGCAGGAACCCCCCGAGCCGCCCTCCAAGGAGCAGCTCATCTACAGTGTGTTCAGCAAGAAGTTCGAGGATCTGCTGCGGCTCAAGGTGCAGGCAGAGTCAAAGCTGCGCTCCTACGAGCTGGAGGCTCAGCATTTGCAGAACTGCCTGGAGAACGCCACGCACGAACTGAAGGCCAAGGACGAACAGCTGGGCAGCCTGGGCGGAGCCCTGCAAATGCTCGAAGAGGAGTTGGTGGGTTTTGCTTCCCTTCCCTGCATTATTAGATTATTTCAACTTCTTTTCCTCCAGACCACGACCCGTATTAACTACGAGGAGCAGATCAGCGTGCTCACGGAGCAGGTCATCAGTCTGAGCGACCAACTGGCTGCCTGCAAATGAGCGCGGAGTGGGGAGCGAGTCCCGTCCTGCAGCTTTACTGTATATTATTGTAAAATAACTAACCGGGAACCCATGCCCCCGCCTGTTTTGTTGTTGTCCGCCCTCGACGTGTATATAACTGAACATTCTATGTGTATTAAATAATTCTCTAAAGTTTAAACATTGAGTAACAGGCGCTTATCACTACAACTTGATCGAGAAGGAGGAGCCGCAGGAGCAGCCCTGCTCCGCCAGCGGGTTGGCCACCATGCGGAATCCGGCACGGATTAGCTCGCTGTGGTAGTCAACTGTTGCGCCGCTGCAGTACTCCAGGGATATGGTGTCTATCACCACCTTGGCCTGGCCCTCGCCAAACTCCCGATCATCCTCGTTGAGCTTAGAGTCCAAATCGAACTTGTATTGGAAGCCGGAGCATCCACCGCCCTCGACGGTAATTCGGAGAAATGATCCGTCCACGCAGATCTCGCGGAGTCGCTTCAGGCAACTCTCGCTCACTTGGACACTGAGTTCGGGTTTGGCGGATACGGAGGCGGAGACGTGCCGCATCAGCAGGAGATTTCTTGGAAAATCAATTATATTACGGGGTGATATCTATATTTTTCAGGATATACTACCTCTGCAGGCCCGTCCTGCCCACTTGTCTCAGTAGGAAAGCCATTTAACAGACGATTTCACAGCCAAAATATATATTTCGAAATTCCTATTTACAATCTCGTAATCCAAACGACAGCTGTTCTCAATGCAATCGATAAAGATATATTGTAATCGATAACTCAGCCGTATTATAGTACATTTTCAAGAGTCTAGTTAGGGTCACACTAAACACGCTTGGCCTTTGGAGGAGTTTTTAAAGTGTTGTTTGATTTTCCACTCAAAGTTGTTTTTGTTTTGTGAACGTCCATGCTGCCTTAGTAATCATAAGTAGTTTTAGAGCAAATGGCTCTACAGGTCAACGGAACGTTTGGCCGGCGGCCCATCAGCAGGCTGGACGATCCGGAGCGGGTGCGTAAAGATCTGGAGAGTCGGTCCCGCATAACCCGTTTGCAGCAGGTAAGCCGCAGTTCGGAGTTAATTACGCAGCAGCCCCAGGGTCATTACTGATGTGACCCATTTTCCGACTAGGTGCGTGTGGCATCCAACAATATGGCCAAAACCGTACGCGATAATGTCTCCGTCGAGTGGCAGCGGCAGCTCGATAAACTGGAGCGGGTCAAGCAGAAGGAGCAGGACGCCTGGCGCGAGAATGTTTTGGCCAAAAAGCACCAGGACTACCGCACGGCAATTTTTCAGGTGGGGGGCGCCCATCGCGCCGCGAGGGAGGAAAACGAGCGTATCGAACGGGAGCGGCTACAGCGGTTAGAAAAAATTAAAAACTGCCGCAAGCAGGCGGCGAGAAGGTCGTTAAAGCCCAAGGCTCCCAATGTACAGTTGCTGCCAACGAACGAAATGAATCTAAATCCGGAGGGACGAGTTACGGCGGGCACTCAAACGCCCACCCAGACGCAGGCCGAGGACAAGGAGAACCGCCTTCGCGGTGGTCAGGAAAAACCAAGTTGCAAGGATAAGAGCAACAGCAAGAGATGCTGTGGTCCCAACATCGATGAAGATGAATCCTCCGAGGACGACTCGTCCATTTTGACAAACAAAAGTCCCACTAGCAGTGGTCGGCTCCAAAAGACTCCGCCAGTAATCCTTGACGTGGACATGGATGATACGCTTTCCGAAACCGTAAACGACGATCAGGGCTTAGAGATCAACGATCGCTTCATGCAAACCAACCGCAAATTCAGTCATGTGGTGAGACCCAACCAAGACGTCAGCCCGGAGAGGACAGAGAACCAACGCAGGCCGAGGTTTACCCAGATCACTGACCTGGTCAGACGAACTGAGACCATGACGTCGATAAGAACCGAACCAAGGTGTCTTAAGGAGCCCGAGGTGGCCGAAGCTAAGCCACCAAGTCCCACCAAATCTCTGCCCCGTTCGCCTACTAAAACCGTAATTCAAATAGAGGCAGTATCCAATATGGCCACCAAATCGACGGGATCTCCCAAGAAACGCATTTCAGGATCTCCCAAGAAATCCAGTCTAGGATCCAGCCAGCAACAACCAGCCAGGCGAGCGGGTTTAAAAACTAATCCGCCTCCCGCCAAGATAATTGATCCCGGCATCTTGAGGAATCCGAAGGGAAAGACACACCCAACACTTCCAAAAATGCCTGCCGCCCTTAGGGAGTCAGCGCCACCGACCAGATCAGATCCAGTGCAGGAACCCCTAGAGAACCTGCTACCCATTCCCCAACAAGTCAATTTACCACAACACATGCCTGTCATGCCGAATCCTCCGATGCCACAGGCTTATCCTCTGCCACAAGCCCAGCCCTATATCCATATGTATCCACAAGCAGCCATGCAACCCTATGCGATGCCCTACTCGATGCCCTATCCCATGCCGCCGCATCCGATGTACGCCCAGCAGCCAATGCAGGTGCCCGTTGTGACAGCTCCGATGAGCACCACCACCCAGTCCACGGTTTCCACCAGCACCACTACAGTGCAGCAGGGACCCAGGACTGTGCAGTCGGGAGGACGAGTTCAGTTCTATGATCACGGCAATAAATACCATCGAACTTATGAGGCGCCAACGCAGTCTGTGCAATGTAACGAGAAAGATCCCAGTCAGCTGAACGCCATGGATCATGCCCGCATCGAGAACCAACTGAGAGAGCTGCGGGAACAGGAGCTGGACAAACTCAGGTAAGGCCTTTGATTAAAAGAGTAAATAGAAATTCAAAAACAAAAGCTATAAGTTACGTTTAACAATTTTAACATACGTTTTTTTACCCTCCCCCATCTCATATCGGACTATTCCTCTCGATTTGTATCTCTAATTTTTCTTTGTTTTTCGCACTGATACAGGAAAATTACCAAAGATCGAGGTCAGAAGGCTTTGGAGCGGGAGCAAATACGTCGGGACTGCGCGGAGCTTACTGAAAAGCTAGATGCCATGACCCAGCAGGATCCGCAGCTCTTACCCAGCGATGTAAGTGAACTATAAAGGGAATATAAAATATTTATATTAAATTATTTATATTTATTATTAAATTATAAAATATTTATAAAACACCCATTAGGCCAACTTCATAGCTAGCCATCGATATACGGATGTGGCGGCCAGGCGAGAGCAGAAAATGAACCAGGCCATGGAACAGATGCTGCTGCGTCCGGCCATTATTACCTGCCCCGAAGTGGGCACAAAATCTGGTCCAACTACCTCAGCCCGAAGCAAGGTTAGTGCTCCGGAAGCCATCAATTTAGGCGAACATCCAGCTCGAGGTAACCGCAACGATCTGGGCAGCACCGAAAGCTGCTGCTCCATCCTCCTCGACTACGCCGAGGATCAGAGCAAGCAGCTAAGGTCCGACATTAAGGCCCAAAAAAACAACTCCACGAAGTCGATGAGGTTGCGGGGTCTGCTGGAACGCATAGAAATTATACGCGGTCAGCTACTAGAGGAACTCCAAGCGGGCGAGGATGCCGCTTCAAAGGGTGACAATGCCCAGAAATTGATAGACAACATACGTCAGGAGAGAGCAGATATTCTGGCGGAAAGAACGAGGTCGCTCAACGAACGCGAATCGGATTTGCAGCAAAAGGAGGCCATTCTAGATCAGCGTTTAAAGGATTTCTACAAAGAGGTTAAGAATAAAAAATCCAGTCAAACTGAAAATGGAAAGGCAGCTCCCAAGTTGGATCAGCCCTTGGAGATTATCATCAAAGTAAAAAGCGACGGCACTGTGAAGCAATTTTTGCCGCGGGGTAAATCCAAAACTAGAGGTACAGTGGAAACTAAGGTGAATGGTAAGGAAGTAACCACGAGCACCACGGAAACTACGCCTAGAGAGGAACCAGAGGTCGCAACGGTTAGAAAGCCTGCCCCACAGGATCAGCGTCAGAACTCATTTGACTCGAACTCCACCGCCTATCGTAGTCTGCCGCCCGTGAGCTACAAAAGCTTCAATCCCACCGAGGCCTCTCCTTCCGCTGCTCCGCCTTTGCATCCTTTGATTGCTCAGTACATCGATCGCCTGCTAGCCATGAGCACTGAGAATGTAGAAGCTATAGCTGTGAGCAGCTCCGATCTAACCACACCTTCTCCTTCAATCATAAACACCTCAAATAATATAGCCCCGGAAGTGGACAGAGAATATGCCAATGCTGTAAATGCTGAGCGCATGGAGCGTGTGGAGACCTTCATTGCCGAGAATCGTAGCTTTGTCAACGATCTAGAGGATTCCATACGATGCCAGCAGCAATTACAGAGGGAACAGCAGGCCCACGACATGGAGAGCAGCTTGCGGACCTTTGATAAGATCTGGAAACAGCGTTTCGCTGCCAACCAGGAAGAAGCTAACAAAAAAGCCAAGGAAAAAGAGAGGCAAGATGGCAGTAAAAGGCTTCAAGAAGTAAATAAAAGAGTGACAGCCCAGGATAACAGAAAAGCCACGGGGGAGAGGAACAGTCAGCAAAGAACTGAGACCCGAGTCCAGTACGAAAAGGTGACTCGGATGGGGTCACAGAGCTCTGGCAGCAAGTCGGTCAGTGTGACCCAAAAATCGAAGACTAAATCGACCAGTGAAGCCTCCTCGGCCCGTCAATTAGACCGTTTCGAAGAGCTAACAGAGAATTGCACAACGCGTATCGCTGAGCTCACAGACCTGATCACCAAGGTGCGCGAGGAGAAGCAGCGTCTGGTGGAGGTCACCCTCACCTCAAACAGCGATGGCGAGCGCCAGTCCACCGAGTACCTTGAGCTTCCAACTGGACAGAAGCAAACCAGAAGCCGAACCCAATCGGAACGCAGCGATTCACAGACAGCCTCCATTTCCGAAGGTCTGCCTCTGCAGAAGAACAAGCCCACGGCTGCCAGCAGGGATAGTGGCATCGCAGACTCGCGTCCCCTTACAGCCCAGGGACATGTGAATGTGGATATAGAGCCTGTCTCGCTAGGCTCCTCCACTCAGAGCAATGCCATGCGTAACCGGTCGAAAGCCCCGCCAGCTACCATACGGCGCTATAGCCCCCAGTTGGATGAGGAGGACTTGGGTCACGAACTCTCCACTATTACGGAAGTGGAAACTCCAGGACAATCGCATATTGTGGCTGCTACCCCAGTGCCCAGACCTTTTCCCAACTTTGATCAGTACGCCAAGGAGTTGCATTTGGACTTGACCCACATAAGAGCCGATGAGAGCCAGCAGTTGCAGAGTGATTTCAACAATCTGGTGGAAGTGGTTCATCAGCACATTGGAGCTGATTACAGAGAGTTTCCCAGCATCAATGCCTACCTCCATAACATTACCACCACCAATGTCCATGTGGAAGTTGATGGGGACCAGGATCAAGGGACCCTGAGAACGGCAGACTTGATACGTCGCCTGCGGGTGGTCAACATGAAGATTCGGGAGTTTCCCAAACGTAAAGATTACCTACAGAAACTGCTTGAACGGCAGCCGGCCGATGAGAGGCAGATGATAGACAGTGCAAGCCTCGAGCAGGACTCATCCGACTCCCTGGATATCGAGCGAGAGCTGCGTCAGCGTAAGATTCTCAAGAGCTCCTTTCGTCGCGGCAATGTGACGGAAACCACTTTGACGGCCCAAGAGGTGGCCAGTAGCACGCGGCGTGAAAGCGTTGCTCCCGCCACCACTGAGGCTCCCAACGAGAGCGGAATTGATCACCTTTCCGGCAGCAACTACTCTTCGGATCCGCGCTGGCATGCCGCAGATCACAAAAGAAGGAATCGTTCGCGTAACATGGAGAGCAGCACGGCCAGCACATCGCCTGAAAGGTTGCCCCGAAGGTCTAGGATGCAGAGCGGTGAACGGTCCCACGATGAATCCGACCTGCAAGATGCCAGCCAGCTGGGAAGGCCACTTAACATACGGGAATATCTGACCCGGGAACTACTGAAGCATCGAGAGCAGCCCGGCGACGCTTCAGCCGAGAGTTCAGACGAATCCCTTAGAGGACACTTCATAAAATCGTTCCTACACTCTTTCTCCCCCAGCACCACGCCACTAACTCCAGCTGTGGGCGTGAGCCATGCCACTGGAGCCACCAACGATAGGCAGAAGACCTCCACTCCCATGGGCTCCTTTAATTCTTTGGCGAATAAAACTGGGTCCATTCAGAGCACGGGCACAGCACTTTTCTCCGGGGAGAGCAGACTCTCCCTGGTTCATTATCCGGATGGCACTCCACCCATTCCCTACGAGCAGCAAAGTAAGCTCAGTACAAATCACAACCCATCGCCAAGTCAAAGGATGTCTAGCGGGAGAAAGGCACCTCGAAAAACCACACGTCAATGATCGGGATAGATTATGTTTAGATTTTAAATTGTATTATTGATTTGTATGTCCATTAGTTATATTTTTAATAAACTTTGCAATTATGTATCACGAAAAAATAATAATTGTAAAAAATATATACATTTTATGTTTTATATTTTTATTTGTATCATTCCTTGTGTTTGACAATTAAAAAAAACTGAAATTATAACATTGAATACTAAGTACTTTGATTGTTTTATATTTTTATATATTAGTCATTCCTTTTATATGACAATTATTATATTTTAATAAACTCGGCAATTACGTACCAAAAAAATAATATTTATACCTCCGAGCACAATTTACTTTGTTTAATTTATATTTTTATATATTTATCATTCCTTTTTGTATGACAATTTTTGATATTTTAAAAATGATTTACCCCAAAAATTAATAATTATACCTTTGAACACAATGTAATAAAGTTTGACCATTATTTATATTTTTAAAAACTCTGCAATCATTTCTTCAGATTTCTAACTACAGTTTCAAGTACAATGTTCACTGTACAGATTATATATACAATATATAGCATGTGAAAAACTAGCTAGTGAGTGGGATAGAAGATATATTGATCCTTAAAGGATGGGTTCTTGTTCTGTAAGTATCTTTGTTTTGTCATGTTCTCAGTTGGCGAACTTTTCACTGGCGATCTACAAGAGGATTTTGTACACAAAAGCTCACTGCAGTTCCTGTTGTAGAGATTATATCTAAGCATAAGTACAATACGTATAAGGCAGCACATCAAGACTTTTCGTTTACAAACTTAACTAAGTACATTAAACACGTATAACAACATAATGTATGTGTCTTGTGTGAGTAGAGGAAATTCATTTTGGTACGGCTTTTGTTTGGCTCCTTGGAGCAACCATTTTGAGCCACTTGAAGCACCAATTTTGGGTAAATGCAAATCCCGATAAGACGCACTCGAAGTCTACTCCTCACTCTCTTCTCCCTGCGCGGCACGATCGCGCTCATCCCTCAGTCTCTGCATGCGCTTGTGACTGTCACTGGCCACCTTTTTGAGAGCATCCGCCTCGGCGCCCGTGGCCTCCACCATTTGCCGGAGGTGTCCGCGGGATTTCTTCAGCAGCAGATGCGGAACATCGAATTCCACAGCCACTCCGGCGTCCATCACAATGATCCTATCAGAATCCATGACCGTGTGCAGTCGGTGGGCCACCGTGAGGACCGTACACTGCTGGAACTTGATGCGGATTGTGCGCTGGATTAGGGCATCAGTTCTGCAAAGTTAGAGAGGAATTAAAACAAGCTCGGACTTCACTTTTCTATGCACTTACTGTGGGTCCACATTGGCCGTGGCTTCGTCCAGCACAAGGACCTTGTTGTTCCGCAGAATCGCCCTTGCCAAGCAGAGCAACTGCCGTTGACCCACACTGAAGTTGCTGCCCCGCTCCGTGACCATAAAGTCCAGTCCAGGAATGGCACCACGCAGCTCTACATCCTCCAAAGCGCTCCAGAGCTCGGCATCAGTGTACCGCTCAAATGGATCCAGGTTGTATCGAATGGTGGCAGAGAAGAGAACCGGATCCTGAGGTATAATGGAGATGCGAGTACGCAGAACCTCCAATGCAATGGTTCCCGTCTCTACGCCATCGATGAGTATCTCGCCCTCGATGTGGGCCAGCCGGAACAAGGCTCCAATTAGGGAAGACTTGCCAGCACCTGTGCGACCAACAATGCCCACCTTCCAGCCCGCCTCAATGGTGAGATTAAGGTTCTTCAGCACCGGCGAGCCATTCGGATCGTAGCGACAGCTCATGTTGCGGAACTCCACCTGTCCCTGGGTAGGCCACTGCTGCGGTGGAATCTTCTCACTCAGCGCCGCCTCCTGCTCCAGTTCGGTGTACTGCAGCACGCGTTCCACGCTGGTCATTTGCTGCAAGGACTCGGCCACCTGACGCACACCATACTGCACCATGCCTGTGAGGATCATGGCCTGGGAGATAGCCAGACCCACGTTGCCGCTGTAGGTGGCTGAAAAAGGTATCAATAAATTGAGTCCAGAGATTACATAAGACCCAAGATCAGACTTACATTCATTGCCCACAATAAAGCTGAACGTGACCGCGGTGAGGAACACGCAACTGACGCAGTCCAGCCATAAGCCCAAGGCTGTATTGGCCGCCATTGTGAGCTGCCAGACGCTGCTGTGCACATCCTGGAGCAGGTCAAACTCCTTGGCCACCACCTCCTGCAGCTGCCGGGATCGGATAATAGCCAGACCAGAGAGCGAGGCACTCAGGTGGGAGAAGACCGGACTCCGGCAGATACCCTCCAGCCGTTTCAGGTCCTGAGAAGGACGCAGGTACAAACATAGGATGAGCACATCCACCAATGCAACCACCAATATGGCCGCAATTAAAACCGGATTCACTATGCTGATCACAATTAGAATACCGAACATCACCAGGGCGATCTGTATAAAGTCCATCATGGCTCGGGGAAGCAGCTCATCAATGGCACCCATGTCCTTGGAGAAACGATTCAGAATGCGTCCCGAGGGAGTGGTGTCAAAGAATCTCATGGTGGCATGCAGGATGCAGGCAAACATACGATCGTGCAGCACTTTTGAGGCATGCATGCAGATCTTGAAGAACAGAAAGCCACGGAAGGTGGTCATAATGACCACGGCAATGATCAAGGCACCGTAGATGTACAGGCACTCGAAGGTTGTGAAGCTAGTGGCCTCTCCCTGTGACCTTTGGTGCTCCTGCTGCGTCCAGATGTTGGCAAAGAAGTCCGAGCTGCTGCACACCACCTGGGACATGATCATCACGAAAACCATGAAGCTGAAGCTGATGAGAGTGCTGCCTGCATGGAAGTACTCGTACCACACACGAGGATGTATTCCACCCGAGGCTTGGGCTTCGGCCAGAGCCTCCTCGTCCACTTCCTCATCTTGCTGCGAGCTGTCCAACTGAATATAAAGTTTAATATTTGTTAAAAGATGCAAGATTTGACTTTTAACTCACCGACTTGCTACCATGCTCCGAGCTGCTCTGCTTCCTCAGCTGCTGATACCCATCCTTCTCCCCATCTATAAAGGGTATATCCTCATCATCACTATCCAGCGAGATGCCGCTGATCGATGACTTTTGGCGACTGTTGTCCGCCCCTGTCTCCTCCTTAGGGCGCTCCAAAAGCTTGGCAAAGTCCAAATCACTGTTGATCAGTTCCTGGTAAGTGCCCTGTCGCAAAATCCGCCCCTGGTCCACAATCACAATCAAATCGGCCTCGGACAGGAAATGTACTTGATGGGTCACGAGGATGCGGGTGGCCTTCTGCTGAGCTAGTCGTCCACGGGGACCGATCACCTCATCAAACAGATGCCTTCCCACGTGGGCATCCACAGCACTTAGCGGGTCATCGAGTAGATAAATCGACGCCGGCTTGTAAACAGCTCGCGCCAAGCTGATCCGCGCTCGTTGACCTCCAGATAAGGAGGCCCCACGCTCACCGACAATGGTTTTATCGCCGCTAGGCAGCTGCTGGAAGTCTGTAGCCAGGGCGCAGCAACGAGTCACCTCCTGGTAGCGCTTCCTTTCATAATCCTCACCAAAGAGGATATTATTCCGTACTGATCCAGTGAAGAGCCAGGGTTCCTGGGCAGCATAGGAAAGGTCGCCTTGAATCACTACCCCGCCATCGATGATAGGCAGCTCGCCTAGGAGCAACTGGAGTATGGAACTCTTGCCAGCACCGACAGGTCCAATTACAGCGCACAGTTGACCCTTCTCGATTTGCAGATTAACGCTCTGCAGCGTCCTCTGTGGCTTCTCATTGTCCCAGCTGGCGTTGATGTCCTTGATGGTTACAGCTCTACTATCGCCGGCCTCCTGGTCTCGCTTGTGCGTCAGTCCATGTGTCCGTTCCTCGCGACTATCCAGCAATAGGAAATCCTGAATTCGACGCAGGGATACCAAGGCTTCTGCTCCGAAGCTCACAGCCAGAGGATACCAGATAGCGGCCACCAACTGCAGGATGTTGTAGTAACTGGCTGCCGAGAAGACAAAGTCTGCCGTAATAGTCTGACCCATCAGAGCAGCCGCCGCAAGGGTGATGTAGAGCGTGGAGCGCTCCGTGAACACCATGGTGCTGAGGTAGAAGCCTCGCAGGTAGGATGCATAGCGGATCTGCTTGATTTCACGGCGCCGAGCCTCAGCCACCACCGCCTGGAAGGGTCGCTCCCAGGCGTACATCTTTATAACCTGGATGCCCTGCACCAGCTCGTTCATGATGCCCACCCTGGCGTCCGTTCGTTCCGCAATTCTCATCCGCAGCACTGAGGTGACCTTGCTCAAGGCCGTCTGTACGGGCACCGTTTTTAGCATCAATCCAATCACTCCCACCAGCGCCGGTATGCCAATGTTCAGCCAAATCAGGTAGCATGTGAGGATCGCCTGCAGCGGCATAATCCAGATCCAGTGCATGAATATAAAACCATAGTCCAGGCGATTCACGTCATTGGAGAGCAGGTTGATAAGGTAACCAGCCGGCGTCTGGCCCGCTGTTTTCATCGAGAGGCGAAGGGTTTTCCGGTAGATCAAAGAGCAGCAAGCTATACGCATACGAGCGCCCATCAGCCGCTGACGGAGATCAACGTGGTGCAGCAGGAAGCAGCAGAATAGGGTCGAAGTAACCAGGACAGTGCCCAGAGCATTGGTGTCATGCCAAATATAGGAAGTCGACTGATCCCAGAGATTTCGCACCAAGGTTTCGTTTTGACCCATCCCATCAAACACCGGTTGAAGGGGCTCCTTAAAGGGACCTCCCTTGTCCAGGGAATTGGGGGAGTGGTCTGTAATTTAATAATTAAATTTAAAGAATATTTATTAAATAAAAAGTGTATATAGACTTACTATCACTTGGAGACCCACTAGCATCGGCCACGGCCCGTGCGAGCATATATTTTCCAACGGAACGAGCAGTCCGATTGACCAACCAATCACTTTCCATACTGTCCATTACGCTAGCAGCTTTCGAAATAGGAGCCTTTTGGAATTGAATCAACAACTGGGCCAGGACAGCTGGTATCAAGGTTCTGGGAAAAAATTTTATAACGACATAAGCCAGGTATTATTCCATTTTATACTCACTTGATTATTATGTAGATCAGGCAAATGAGACCATTAACTATCGTGGGTCCTAAAAAGCAGCGGAACAGAGCATTCCTGAGGTGGGGCTTCTTTTTCTTACGATGTGAGCGTTCCAGTTCCTTAAACCATTGCCTGAAAATAATCAATAAGAGTTCTCTTTCAGGTAAACTTGTTTAAAAAAATATACTTACTCTTCCAAACGATCCCCAAGCTGTTCGGACTGATCTTCTTTGAGGCACTTGGTCAGATCATCCGTATTTAAGCCCCGTCGAGATCCACGGTATAGCAAAGGTATGACCCAGGCAAATATCAATTGTGAGATAATATTTGCCTTCTGGCGCGGATTCTTTCGCGTTGGCTTGGCGCTACTATCCATGATGACATACGGAGGGATAGTTCACTTCTCGATTGGAGCCTTCCTCTACCTGTGATCGCTGGCAAAGTAAACGCATGTTAAATATAAAAGACCTCCATATGCAAAGACTGAGAGATAAGAATATTTGTTTCGTCTGGGTAAAGTGTACAGTAAACATTGTTAGAGAATATTTTGTATTTCATTGTATTTGACAGATTAATAATAGAGTGATAATAATTTGATTGTATTTTATGTTAACCATTGTTTTAAAATACTTTTTATTTATGCAGTTATAATATAAGATTGTTATACATTTTTGTATACTGTATAAAGCCTGTGGGTTGATAGGAAGGAATGATTGTGCCTCATCATGACTAGCCTAGTAGTAGCTACTTTCTTATCAGTGAAAACCTTGACCAATAATGCATCTAGACCATGCGTTATACTTTCATAATATACAATTACCTAATAAATTTGTAAAAAATAAACTAGTATAAATAAAAGTTTGTCACAATCTTAGCCAACTCCCATAATTTAGTGCCTTCCCAAACTGATAAGAGAGACGTGCGACTGAGAACAAGAGTTTAAGGAAATAAAAACTAATCGCAGGCAGTTAAAAGTGAAACCCAACACCAGGTTTAGCATTATTAAACTATATTTAGTAGATATAACAGTCAAAAAAAAGCGCAAGAATCTCATAGAGGCTACAAATAATATGTTTATTTAAGGAACCCCATAAAAGTCTAGCTCGAACTTTGCTCAGCATAGCCCACGGCTATGAGGGTCAGTCACACGATATCGGTCATTAGCTTGTCTGTAACTGATAGCACACGCCACGATGAGCGTAAATCAAAAAGCATTTGAAGTCGCACACGACACTGGCACCGGCACATCCTCTCAGATGACAATAATCATAATGTTTATTAATTGGTAAGCAAGAGTCCAGAGACCTCAGATAAGCCACACGAACCTGTGTCTGGACACGTATTTTTTTTTTTTTATTATTTGTATGTCTACATTTTCTTTGGAGGTCATTAAGCTGGCTAAAATATGATGACCCACTTTACCCCCAAACGGAAATTATACTTTTCACATTAAAACTTTCCCGGGAAAAGTTTCAAACTTCAGACACCCAACTTTTATGTGAAGTAAAGTGTTCATGTTGCACAGTTGCTCAGCTCAATGTGAAGTAATATCGTGAAACGTTTACAGAGTAAATTTCCAACGCCTCGCCCCTTCCTCGAATTAATGGATCTTAATTGCTTGGGTGCAGGCAATTGAATAGAATAATTGTGACGTCGCCAATGAATTTACGTAAAAAAATACATAATGGCTGGGTTTTTCGAGCTATAGATCTCCGCTTTCCGATTGAAACAATTAGAACTACTTAACATAAACAAATTCAGCTATATTAAAGTTTTTATCAGCTGAAAATGGCCTACATTTTTTTTTTATCTAAGTTTGTTATCTGTGGTTGGGCTTCAAAAGCTTTCATATCAAATGTTGTTTCACTTGTTGGGTGCAAATTCTTGTTAGTTTTTTTTTTTTTTTTTTTTTTTTTTGGAAAAAAAAAATAATGAAATTTTATTTGACTAGTGCACTGTTACCTAGATATTTGGCAACTAAACCTAATTGGAAGTTAATTCTATGTTTACAATGCTTTGTTATGGAGGAGTATTAAGTTAAGTTATGTTTACATAATTTGAAATGATTTTCATGTTTTGTCTGATATTTTATGTCAAGATCCTGTCGGGGAGGTCCTGAGGGTGGTGACGTTTAAGTCTTCTCCTGACTCGTGTTCTGTGTTCAGCGGTGGCTAATCTTCTAGCCAGACTATTAATTCTTGTTAGTGGAAATGGAGCGTTTTAGCATTTCAAGCATTTTTTAAACGAAATCAAATTTATAAGCCAGCTATATAAACACAGACGAACGCACACCGATAGAAAGACAACTGCGGCAACAGATTGTACAACAAATTGATTAAAATATTTTTACCGGCATCGCACCAGCAGGTACAGTAAAACTGGATCTGTAAGTTCCTGAATAACATTGTTTCTAAAAAAAATGCATTTATAAAAAATATACTACTTAATGACAAAAACCGGAAATAATATTAATTATTTATGATTTATAGTTTTATAATCTTTGTAATTTACATTGTTGCTTTCGTTAATTGATTCACTAATAATGTTCCACTGTACGAACACGCTAATACACACACATACAGTCAAGCACTGGGGCACTCGGTAAACGGTATCGGCGACCCCACGGGCTAACAAGTGGTTGTTGTTGGCGGCCGGTCGTCGCTAAGGTGCTTAAACTGCGACTGTTTTGGTGGAAAAACCGGCATTCCACATGCTTCCCATGCAGATTTGCATCTGCATACAATGGCGGAAACTAAATTTAATAACGGTTAATGACGTAAAGACGAAGGGAGAATTGCAGCAGCAGCAGCAACAGCGGCGACATAACAGCACTGAGTCCACCAAAAACAAAGAGCGCAGAGCCCAAGCACACACAATCGAACACACACCAACTGTACGTGCATACATATATATAGATAATTTTACGCCACTTATTACGCGAATGTTTTCAGCTCCCAATATTCTATCCACTACAAGAACTAATCATTTGATTGGGACTTACTGGCTCTACCTGAGCATTAATTAATTCCGCTACCACTGTCTATTCCAGTGCCACTCGACTATGTCGCGGCGGTCAGCACGTGCAGAATGAATACGAACGCTATGGAACACCGACACACTCACACACTTACAGGCGGACCAACGACCCGATGGAAGCGGCGAAATTCGGAAGCGGATACAACGCACGTCTGCCTGCTTCAAAAGCTCGAGCGCGAATGAGCAGCGGCTGGGGAATGAGCGGCCAAGTAATGCGTGAAATCTCAGTGGCACAGTGGATTTTTTTGGTTTAAAATGGAAATGATTACGGTTTAATAATATTTTTGATTTTCTCAATTTATAATGAATGTGAAATATTTGAGATAAACCAACACTGCGTATGAGTAACGATTCTATCAGTACGTATCGTAAACATTTTTTAACTGAATTTGTACTTGAAAATTTTATCTGAAACTAATGATTTGATTTCCTTATTAGTTATAGTAATTAATATATTCACTGTATATATTACATATTATATATATTATATATTATACCATACCATTAAACGAAAAATAATAAAATATTGACCACTGTTCCTTGCTGCAAAAACGAGAGAGTGAGGAACAGTGGGGGTGGCTGGCAGACTACTTTCTTGGGAGACTACGAGAGAGAGCAATGTATTTTTATTGAGCAGCTCTCTTTTACACTATACAACAAAAGGGTAATTTTCAGTAATAATAATAATTGATTTTAAAACAACAAAAGTGAAAAGTGCATTTTATATGAAATGCCAATTAGTAAAAAGGTGTATTATCGCTTAAGGCTTCGAAATTTAAATATTTATGTATTATTATAATATTATTATTAGTTTATAGTAAAAGATTTTTATTTAATAATTGTAGCTTTAGTTTAAAATAATAATATAGTACATAATATTATGACTTTAAAATATTTTTAAAATTATTGAAATATTTTTTTATGTTTAAAAACTATTTAGAGTAATGTTATTTATATTTATCTTTTTTTTCTAAATGTTCTATAATTCTTGCCTGTCTTTTTGTCAACTGATAAAATCCAGCTTAGCAAAGAGCTTCCCCTTCACTCTTCTCTAAATATCCTAAATGTGTTTTTAAGTTCATATCTCAGTTTAAGCATCAGCAAAACTCAATTCAAACACAGGCTTCGATTGAGGAGGGTAAGTCGCCGAAAAACCTGGGAGAGAGTGAGTCAGAAGGAAAGAGAGTCAAAGCACGTAAGATGTAAAACCCAGAAAGCTTTCTACATGTCAAATGAAAAAAATAAGTAAAATTTGATTTAATAAAAGGAGAAAATAAATATATAGATTAGATTTAAAATTAATATTAATTATTTTTCAGTAAATAAAAATAAAAATACTATACTCACTATAGAATTTCGATAGAAAGAAAACGCTTTATTTTGTCAGCTGAAAATCTCTCACGCTTATACACATACATACGAATTCACGCACTAAGGACACACCCCCTCCACCCCCTGTCAAGCTGTGTAAACACGCACTGCAACAGTTGTTCTATTTTGGCGCCAAAAATAGCTGAGAACGTAAACAAAGGTCTAGCCGATTTGCTTCAACCAAAAGCTCTCTCTTCCACTCGCACTGTTCCTCACTCTCTCTCCGCTCTCTGCCAGGATGTAGGTCAAACACTGCGTATGAGTGATATTGCGGAGGCAATAGAATTTCGCTTTCAGTTACCGCATTTTCAGTTGTGCGACTCGCGTACAACAGTAAACGTCACACGGACAATGTGAAAACTCGGGCGGCAGTGTTTCCATAGTCCTGCGGAGGAAATTCGCGCGCGACTTATCCGAATCAATACTGCGACTTGAGAGCCGGGGTAAAAACAAACTAAACAAAATAAAAGAAAGCAAACGGAACTACAAAGAGGCCGAACAATTGAATTTTATTTTTGGCAACCCGTTGACATTGTTCAGCACAAGGCAAGTGACTCCCAAACTGGGCAAAAGTTCAGGTGGCACAGAAATCTTACAGGCTTACAAGGAAATACCTTAAACCACTGTAGAGACTTTATGGCGAACTTTATTAATAGTAATAAAATAGTAGCCCTAAAACGCAAAGGCTTTCATTTCCTTAACCAGCGTAATAAACATTTTTTTTTTTTTTTAATTTAAAAGATTAAGTAGAAAATCAGATCCGTGCGTTTTTATATTTGTAAGAATGGTAAAGTGTTTTTACGCTAAAGAAAAATATAAACTTCATTGTTTAAGAATGTTTAAAAACGTTTAAGGTACAAACACTTGCTTGCCCTTAATAAATCTTCACTATTAGCATTTTGGTGTATTTTTTTCTGTGTGTGACATTAAAAATGCAAAGGTCCTAAGTGGCGACTTCCCCAAGTCCACCTGCGAAAAGGTTTGGCTCTTATCGCGACTCTAGAGACACTCCCATCGGTTCATTCATGCACCTTCAACTCGACGCTTGTAAATTACGCATACGCCGCGCTGTCCCAGGCCCAAAAGAAGCAAAAAAAAAAAAAAAAAAAAAATATAAAAAAACGCAGTGTCAAGTGACAGAAAGAGCTGTCAGATGAAGAAGGGGACAGCAGGAGGACGGTCTGGGGTGGCTCGGCAGGCATTTGAAATATTTATGAAAACCAGCGCGCGCCTCCATGAAGCCTTCAACATTTTTGTTTCACTGTTGCTGTTGTTGTAGCTGCTCTTTATCCTTTTTATTTTTCGGTGGCAGCCTTTCGCACTCGACATCAAGGGTAATTAAAATGTGGACACATTAAGGCGGCTCCGGGTTTAGTGGTTGTGGTTAGCCGCACACATACACACGCACAAACACCGGAAAACAGATCCTTGCAGCTGGTGACAGCCACTCAGGCGCGTCAGGAAAAAGTTGAGGATTTTCGTTTAAGTTAAGTTGTTCCCTGCCAAGTGGAACTTTTGTATGCTCTGGGGAGGATGTGTTTGCATGTGTAAACAACAATTATATTCCGACACCGTGTAACAAGGGGATATTTTAATTAGAAAGACAGAAAAACATGGCAAATTTAAATTTCGGTATTAGATAGTACTAGCTTTATAAGCTTAAATTACTGCATTTATTATTTAAATCGCTTGTTTTTAGGGGCCATTAAAAATGCACCAGAAACTGTCCCAAATCCGATGAAATCATGAATACAAAATTCTCAAGAGGAAAGAGTATTTTGCCTTCCCATAGTTGGGTTTTTCCTTAAAGAATCCTTTACGTTATATCCTTCGGCCCCAACTAAACCTCATTAATAATCGGCTCCTTTTTTGGCTTCCTTTGTTTGTTTGTTTTTATTGCCGCAATCAACGGTTTCCGTGCGTGTTTCTTCATTTTGGTATTAGGTCCGAGGACCCCCGGCATTTCGGGGCAATAACCACACAAAAAAAAGTAGTGGAAAACTTGTGTATAATTCATAAGGCAAACCGCATTCCCATTGTACTTACTGTAGATACCCAGTTGTGGTGGTCAGTTGGCCGATGTCAACCGATAATGCTGGTATTAAAGCCCCAATAATGGATTTGGATTACGGAGCGAGAGAGACATGTGCTGGCACATGCCCTGAATGGCGGAGGATAATTTAATGGACAAACCCTGGGTGGCTGGGTGGCGAAACTTTCATTTGCAGCCTTGTCTCGACTTGCTCCCTATTGCCAGTTATTTTATATGTATCCCCGAGGCCGCTTTACGTTAACATCATCTGCATATAACAACCTGGCTAGGGGTATTTTTTGGCTAACCAAACACATAGTCAAAAGGAAAGTTTGACATGCCAGGCCAAGGCACGCTTAAAGGCCTCTGGGAAGCGTCCCAAACATTTGGCTTTTGTAAAGAAATTTACCTCAAAATAAAGAAAAACCAACTGGCAATGGCTGAAACATGTTTGGATGGGTTCCGCACGAGTGATTAGAATTTTATCTTGAAATCTCTGGGATGCACAGCAAGAGAAATCTGCAATGTGCCATTAAAGCCAAGTATTCCTTATTGAATTACCAGCTGCGTGACCTTGAATCACCCCTTGACTCTAATTCAATTCTGACCTCATTTAGTGTTTGCTTCAATTTATCTAACACATTTTCCTGCAATCAGTGTTGCTTACTTTGCACAGAGAAAAATATAAAATAAAATGGGTATTCATAAATATTTAAATTCTCTAAAATTGGAAAATATTTATAAAATATTTAAAATGTCTTAGGAAACGAAATGTTTCATATTGATTTTAAAACTAACTTCTGAGCTATATGGCTTACTGTGTATGTCTGCCTGACCTGCTGCTACACATCAAAGGTGCCTTCTTGGGTCAGGTCTACTTTTGCCTTTTCCCCCCCTTAGTTTTCCCCGCTTCGCTTGACTGGAGCCGTTCCATAAATCAAAGGCTATGTGACGCAATTTTCTTGCAATAGTCGGGGCGATGCTACACGAAAGCCAAACAGAGAGAAGAATATTCCCAATTTGTTTACATTGTTCGTTCAATAAAGTCAAGGCGCCGTCATCGGCATCGTGTGACCTCGATTACGGCCTGGGAATTGTCACAGTTTAGTTTTGAATTAAGTTTTATGGCACGTTGCTGGGGGAAAAAGTTTTATTACCACTGGTCCCAGGCCTCCGGCACTGCCGAGTGGGTTCAAAGTTGAAAAACCTCAACACACACGATTTTGAGGGAAATCAAAGCCGGCTGAATAAAATATTTATGTGGCAATTAAATGAAAGCACACGGTGAACACGTGTTTCTTTATTCAAAATGATGAAGGATGTTGCTTGGGAAAGTACTTGAAATTTCCCCAAGGCTTCATTGTGTCATTAATTGAGACTCTGTATGTATCACCGGAAAGGAGAGCAACTTCCGCTGATCCGTACTTGATTACAATCAACGGTACACAGAGAGAAATTAAGTACATTTTTTGGAATGTTAAAGAGTACTTCCATATAGGAGATTATGCCATTAAAATGGATGAACTGTCACGGACAAAAACCACATCATTAAAAACTCCGAATGTGTGCTTAATTTTGGGGCGGATTTACTTACATCTCCATCTCCACATTAATTTTCTACTTGTGAAGATGTGACACGGACACGGCTATATATCCCCTGGCTCTATTTGCCTGCAGGCTGGCTGCGTCCTTCGCTCGAGCTCTTCTTCTGCTTCCCTGCGTGTCCTGCAGCCAGACAATGTGCACAGCTCTGTGTGTGTGT